TAAGAAGGAGATCGAATATTCAGGCTCCGTCAGTGTCCGGGTTGTTTTTCTTGACGCCGGGTTGATCACTACCTTGGATTCTGCTCGTTTTTACAATTTCCTTGATCTTTTCAAAACGTTGATTTTATGGAGAGATGGTTATAAAGCCGGTAGACTTATCATAGAAAGACATCCCATCAACAGCACTGGCTCAGTGATCGACGAAGATGAATTCTGTTATAAGATGCAGGAAATTGTGCAGAATTTCTTTGTTTCGCATCCCACTCCGATTAGAGGGACCCCCAGTAGAACGTTTCTTTCACCCATGCCTCTGGGTGAATACCACATTGGACCTGTTTTGTTTAATCTTCTTCAATTAGTAAAAGACCATCACGTCAGGCTGGATGATTACTATGCCAATTTGGTGATGAGTGTGATATTTGTGGAGGGGCTTGGGCGGCGGTTATGTCCAAATTTAGACCTTCTTCCGTTTATCAAGCAGGCTGCTCTTCACTATTTTCTTCGAACTTGAGTTTTTAAAGTTATTTTTGGATAGCAAATTTGGGTTCATCGCACTATACAAAAACATGCAAAAGAACCACAAATGGCTATGGTCAGATTGGGGGTTGCATTTGGAAGTCTAAAAGGCCTACGAATTTATTGCGTCTGTGCACATAATGATTGGTATTGCGAGCGATATTCTATCAAGTAGTTTGGCACGTTTCGTGTGATTGGATTGCATCAATGATTAAACAGCATGGTTTTGCCTGGACACTCCAGAACATTGCAATCATCCAATGCGAATTTAGGGCTAAGGGTTAGCCTAAGGCACGTTAAGATTTTGTTATTGGTGGTGGGATTAAATCTGGAGCAGGGTTAGGGTTATAATGTTCGCAAAAACAATTAAAAGTAAAATTACAATTCATGAAAGTCGAGCATGCTGCACACCAATTTGCATGAAAGCCGCAATCTATGCACAGCGCAGTGACTCTGTGTTCCGATTTTCCGCTGGTGGAGCTAACAGTTTGCGAAAAATAGAGCTTAAAATCAAGACATATGCACTCCAGTTACCATTTTCAGACTTTCGCTATTTGGAATATTGGTCACCACTCCAAAATTTGCTGCATCTTCTTCGTTGCAGAATTCGAAAGGCATTTTTATCAACCTTGCTTACTGGTTTAACTTGAAAAAATACATCCATAGATCATTGACAAAGGGTCCGACACAGTTTACACACCCAACGTCAATCTTTCTTCCATCATAATACCGTCCATAACCACCAATCACTTGTGCATACAAAAATTGTCAGTTGGCTGTTTGCTAACTTGCTTAAACTCATCAGGAAAGGATGGATGGGCAATTAGGCTAGATGGATATTCAAGCCGCAAAAAATGCCTCGTCAAAAAAATTTTGAGCTTATGTTGGCTGGCCACATCACATTTTCGTTGGGATATTTTTCTTGCAAAATAATTTAATGCTTAAAGAGGCTAGTGACGCCGCCATGTCCACTATTTTGCTCCGCAAGGATTTCCCCCCAGCTCTTGTGGAAAAATTCCGCTATTGTGATACGGACGATATCCTCACACCTCCAGATTATTTGGTTTGCGTCAGAAAGTCATTTGGCCAATTATGTAGTCACTATGGGTTTTCGGTTCATCTAAACCCAAGTGGAGTGTTTCTTTTTCCAGAAGAAGCTTTTTATCTTTACTCAAAAGAGAAAATTTGTCTATCTAATCCTTTCCTTTTGCCACAGGTGCCCTTTCATGCCCTTAATTTAGGACTTTAAACTATGCAGAGTATATTATGAGCTCAGAGCTAATGGATGGATTCCATTTCGAGCAACACATCCTGTGGCCCATTTTTACATGATGAGCTCAATGCTCCATTTGTCTCTCCCACGCATTCTGATTGAGAGGATCTTTTTTATCTACTGCCCAAATAGGTTGAATTTTAAGAAAAGCTCTGCTGGAGCCCCCTTTGGTATGGTTTTGGTTGATTTTGAGTTGGAGCGCATGGATATGATCCCCAAAGATTTAATCGTGATCCTGGCATCTTTTAAAAGTTCAGAATTTACTTTTTTGGTCTTGCAACAGCAAACATTTGTCAATGAAATTCAAGAACTTTCGCTTCCTTGTGAAGCAAGTCCAACAGCTGATCCACCGACTCAACCTTCCGCCCAGAGGGCCTTGGGGGAGGATCGCTAACATCAAGGATCTCCAAACGAGGCTTTATATCAGAGCGATCCGGAAGAATTTCATCAATCGAAACCACTTCTATCGGTTTCTTTTTCGCTTTCTGGAAACATAAATTGTAATCGCAATACCATTATATTTTGCAGCGACACCAATCGCGGCTCGTTAAGCCTATACATGAATTGCGCGCACTTCTCACCTTAGATCTACCGTGATGACAGCAGGGAGCGTTAGCTTAACTTCTTGAAGACCCCCGTCAATCTCTGAAGTCACGTTTACGTCTCCAGAGTCGGAAAATTTTATTTCCGAAGCAAAGGTTACCTACAGGCTACAACTATCTTGTGATACTTGTGGCCATCCAAGAAGCCCCGCTAACATTTGCCCCGTTTGGCCGGCATCGTCATCAATTGCCTGTTTCCCCAAAAGTATCAGGTCGGATTTTTCTCGACTTGCTATTTTTGCCAATGCTTTTGCCACCGTGAGGGGCTGAAGCGTTCCTAGCCATAAACAAATAAACAGCCAACCGTCATTAGGGGAAACCGACCCCTCTTTATCTGAATCTATTAATATTCCTTTATCAGCTCCCATTGCTAAGGCTGATCTTATGGTTTCCATTGATTTCTGCCCTCCACAGCTGGCCACCGTAATTTGATGCGAATTTTGCCCTTTTTCTCGGATGCGAAGAGCCTCTTCAAGCGCAATTTCGTCAAATGGATTTATGGAATGCTTGAGCCCATTTGTCTCCATCCATTTCCCATCAGCACGAACCCTTGATTTTATGGCATAGTCAAGAGCTCTCTTTATTCCGACAAGAATCTTCATCGATCTGGGAAAAATTTCGCTTCAGTATATCATGCACTGATCAGAAATAGTCTTGCCTTAGATTTTAATTTTGCAATTTTACAATCTTTTATTTTATTTTATTTTTCTCCATGAACTCGCACAAAACGGATCCAAAAATTTGCTTGATTGTCATCGACGGATGGGGCATATCACCGACAGATCCAATTCTGAAAAACGTTCCCGGATCTGCAGAGATTTCATCGCTGCATCCCAACCTCATCAAATACGATGCTATTGCTACTGCAAATACGCCCGTGATGTCTGCTCTTCAAGCCAACTTCCCTACCGTTCCTATATATGCACATGGTTCTCGTGTTGGACTCCCACACGGTCTGATGGGCAACAGTGAAGTCGGTCATCTCAATATTGGCTCTGGACGGCCTGTCCCACAGGTTTGATCATAACATTAAGCAATAGGATATTGTTCGAATCGACAATGCGGTCGTTGAAAAATCGCTCGCTTCGCAAAAGACATTAAAAGATGCGTTTTTGAATGCCAAAAATGGAAATGGCCGCATCCATTTTGTTGGTCTTGTTTCGGATGGGGGTGTTCACTCTCACGTAAACCATTTACGGGGTCTTCTTATGGAGGCAAAAGAATTTGGCATTCCATCTGCTTACGTACACGCAATCACGGATGGCCGTGATACGCTGCCAAAAAGTGCTGATGGATATTTGGAGAGCTTGAATTCTTATCTTAGTTCCATTTCATATGGAAAAATCGTATCTGTCGTTGGGCGCTACTATGCAATGGATAGAGATAAGCGATGGGAAAGAACAGCTCTGGCATACAATCTTTTTACGCGGGGCGAGGGTAAAAAAATCTTGCCTTCGGCTCTTGGAGATACCATCCAGGCCTGTTATGCCGCTGATGAGACCGACGAATTTTTCAAGCCAATTCTTATTGATTCTGATGGGGTTATTTCAAAGAACGACACTGTTGTCTTTTTTAATTATCGATCCGATAGGATGCGCCAGATCGTCTCCTCTTTCATTACTACACCATCTCCATTGATGGAGGTTACTGCCACCGTGGATGTTCCTGAGAATCTTCACATTGTTAGTATGACGGACTACAAAGAGGGTGTCTTCAACATTCCAGTGATTTTCTCGCCAATCAAAATGGACAATGTGCTTGCAGAGTGGCTTTCCAAGCATTCTGTCAACCAATGCCACATTGCAGAAACGGAAAAGCATCCGCATGTTACATTCTTTTTCAACGGAGGTCGCGAGATTTGCTTTGAAGGCGAAGATCGTATTATGGTATCATCCCCAAAAGTTGCCACTTATGATCTTGCCCCTGAAATGAGTTCCTTAGAAGTTGCCGAAAAAGTTATTGAAAGCATTTCATCTGGAAAATACCCCTTTGTGATGTGCAATTTTGCGCCGCCCGACATGGTCGGACATACGGGAAAGTATGAAGCTACCGTGAAGGCAGTGGAGGCCACCGACCGTGCCATCGGCCTCATATATGAGGCTTGTAAAGAGCACAATTATTTATTGGCGGTCACATCTGATCATGGTAATGCCGAGAAAATGGTCGATGAAGAGGATCGTCCATTCACCGCTCATACGACAGCACCAGGTTGATATTTTTTCTCATCATTAGTTCCATTTATTTTGAGCAATCCAGAGCTCAAGTTCACCACTTCCAGAATTGGCGCTCTTTGCGATGTGGCGCCAACCATATTGGAGCTTTTTGGGCTTGAAAAGCCGGATGAAATGACTGGGTGTTCTCTTTTGATCAAGTGATAGCAAATAAAGAATTCTCAATCTTATCTTGGCAATTTGAATCCATACACAGCATAGAGCGCGTACAAAACAACACAGGAATGATATCAAGCAGTGCCATTGCAGGGGCCACCATGAGCGCCGTTTGTTTGGACGGGTTTGGTTTAATTTTATTGCATTCAAATTTATTTTAAACTTGCTTTGTATGGATTCGCTTCTGGCACCCGAGAGCCTCTTTTCTGCTATTGGTTCGGGAACCCAAAGACTGTTTTCCCTTGACGCTAAATTTTCAGAATTCGAAATCGAAAGACCATCATCGGAAATGGAGTCTGACATTGACATTATAGCAGCGCTTATCGTTATCCCCAGGAGCGTCACAAGCATAGGTATCGCTTTTATGTCTTTTCCTAGCTGCTCGTAAGCCAGCATCGGCTTCCAGAGACGCAAGGGGCACTCTTTGGCCCTTGATATTTGGCATCCAATCTGTAAATGATACCGAAAAACTGAGGGGTGAATATTTCGCGTTGTTGAAAAAGTATTCGCATTCAGAACCATCGCCCAATTTTACTCTGATTCACAAGGACGTAAATAGAACGGATGTGTCTGTTCTTGGCTCGTTGTGGGATATTCATTTAAAGATGAAAGGCGCAACATCCGAGATCGGGTCTTCCGATCTCAATGATCGCAAAATTAGTGAGGCGAAAGCAGATGCAGCTGCCATTGAGGCCACATATGCTGGCAAAGATGTGGATGCCGTTGAGCTTCCGCCTTATCAGGAGATCATGTGTCGAATATTAAAATTGTATTCGCTGTGTACCCAATCCGACTATGCCCAAGGGATGAGCGACATTCTTTCGCCGATTTTTGCAAGTGTCGATTTTGATGAGGTTTTGACCTTTTGGATATTTCTCAGCTTTCTCACCGGAAAGCCTGCATCGAAGGGCTTTGAGCTAGCGCCGCTTGTGCAAGATGCCTCGTTTTTTTCGCTGCATTCGTTCTATTCGGTGGTCGACAGCTCGCAAATGAAGCAGGCACTTTGGACGATTGGCCAACTGCTGAGATTGCTGAACATTGAGCTTTACTCGCACCTGAGAAAAAACGGGCTAGAGTCGCTACTGGTTTGCTATCGCTGGTTGCTGGTGTGGTTCAAAAGAGAATTCTCTTTCGAAGATACTTGCCAGTTATGGGAGGTAAGTTGTTGCTCTGTTATTTTGCGTAGCTGGTACTGTGCAATCCATACTGCAGCCCACAGAAATACGCGCTCTTCGTTGCGCTTTCGCTTTTGGAGCAGCACTCGGAGACAATTCTATCGTCCATCAACACATTCGACGAAATGATCGGGGTACTTTTGGTTCGTTTAATGCCTTAGCATTTTAATGGTCTTGCTGGCAAGCATTCACTTGAGAAGACCATCAACGTTGCAGATGCTTTATTTTTAAAATTCAAATATCTATGCTCTTTTTTTGAACAAATACCAAAACAATTTTGCATGCTTTTGGAATGAGTATACACGCAGGCTTTATCTTAGAGTATCAGCCCGTTCGCAGTCCGTCTTGAGGGTCTTTTCTGCCTCTGCCCTGACGATTGGATGTGCGTCGCAAAGAAGGGCGTCTTTGATCTTCTCCAGTGCTTCGCAAATGGCATTGGAGGGCGAGCCCTTGCGCCCAATTGTTTTTGATAAATACTTCAAGTCCAAAATAATCGGAATTAGGCAATAGCGAATATTGGGCACGGGATCTTCCGCTAGCAGCCCAAGCGTGGGCAGATAATACTCTTCAACCACCTCCTTTGTGCAAAAAGAAATGAGCGCTTGGAATGCAAATAGCGATGCCTGCCGTATCAAATGATTGGAATGCTTCGAGTAGGTGAGCATGAATGGGATAAAGTTTTCAACGATCCACTTGATGCCAAAAAGACTCGCACATTCGAAGAGCATTTGCGCAGCTTCCTTCCGCACAGAAAAGGACCTATCAATGAGGCCTTGAAGAAGGATGGAGGAAAGCGCCCCCTGAAACACATCCAGTCCCTAAAAATAGCGCAAAAGACCGGCATACCAGCTTCTTTGAAAGCATTGGTGCCAACCGGAGCACTTCTATTCTAATCCTCCACGACGCATCGTTTGATAGCTGCACAATGGCATAAATAAGGGATGTGGAAAGCGAGCTGAGGCACGAAAAATCTACACGCCAGTTTTGATTCAAAAAGCTATCAAACCTTCAACATTTTCCGAAATTGACTTGAGGGCGTTCAGTCTGACCTCTGTGGAGGGATCCCGCAGCAGGGTGTTTAAAAAGCTCGTAATTCTATCAACAATAGTGCTATCGCCATTCAGACGACACGCGAGCACGCCAATGCAGCATGATAAAGAAGAACGCGTAAAAGGGCTCTCATCCTGCACAAGTTTTTCCATCTCTTCAAGAAGGCTAGACTGCACAAATTCCAAATCCAGTAGAGGAATCAATTTCGTGAGGTTCTTGCATATGGAGGAACGCACCTCGGCTTCGGGATCTGCTAGCAGTCTGCAGATGGGGTCATAAATTATCTCTTTCCTATCTTTATCAGAGGGAATGGTGTTGAAAATCTAGAGCTTTTTTGGAAACCCCTACCTTTTCCAGTTGATTGCTAAATGCATATCGAACTTTCCACGAACTGTCTGTTGCGAACGATTGCATTGAGGGGATGATTTTTTGCGTAAAAATGGCATGCGGATGGTCCTCTCTGATGGAAAGGCTAGCGCAAACCAGCGAGAGGGCAGAAAGGCTATTGAGTCTAATGATGTCGTCCGCCTCGTTGGAAAGACTCAAGATCGACGAAATAATCCGGGGCTCCGAAATTAGCAGCTCATTTGGCAAAAATCGAATAAAATTCTACAATTATCAGCTGCTGCAATGGAAACCTCAAGCGTTTTGATGACCTTCATACGAATCCAAAGTCGATACGACGGAGACAAATAGTCCAAATATTTGCTAGTGGTAAGAAATAAGTATGGCCCAAACGAACCTCATAAGGTTTTGCCGGAGTACCGGGTTCTTGATGAATCCAACAATCCTTGAGAAAATCGCAATTGTTGGCCAAGACTCGATGTCCATGATGAAAAAATCCGACTCGAGGGCTCGGGATAACTCATCTGGCGATAGTAGCTTTAACCATGAAATTACAGTGTCTGTCACCTAACAATGAGAGATGCTGGGGGAGGAACCATTTCCGTAATAAGCGAGCAAGAATCGGAGTGGAAAATGAGATCCCCAAGCAGGGGAACTATTGAAGGCTCTACGAAAGAGAGACCTCCAATATGCTCAATGGTAATTGAATTTGGACGTTCCAAGTTTAAAACATGTGCCAATGAACCAAGGATCATCTCCTGCTCGTCAATCGAGTCCAAAATGTATGAAATATACGGAAGCAGTTTGGAGCGGGTCAGCTCAGGGCCGATGGTGGAACAAAGCAAAGGCATATGAGAGACAGCCAAAGAAATTCTTTCGTAATTTAAACTTTCGAGATCTTCGAAAAGTGCCTTTATGAGTGTGGAATATGAAGCAATGGCGATTCCAAGCTTGCGTTGAGATAGCGAGGCTGATGATGATGACAAGACTTTTCCGTCGCAATCATCTTCCTGGTATATTAGCGCCCCATCTATAGACTCAAAACTGGTGTCTATGTCTTCATTGACAACATCCATTGCCTCGCGTTCTTTGGATGGCTGATCCATGAGGAGAGTGGGAATTGGGCACAAAATTTAGAAAATTTAACTTTATTCTCAACCCTAACGACGACTTGAAGTACACGCGAAGAGAGGCAATTTTGAGCCGATTTTTTACTGTTAATGTGAAAATCCGGCAGCCGTTCTCTTCGAGTCAAAACACGAGCGCACGTAGTGTATTTGCCAATAGCAAAGGGCACCCAAAATCAATAATTGCAATATCGTCCAGGCAAACACGCGGGAATTTGTGCTTTTTGCAGCTGAAGTTTATAAAAACAGCTTACTATCATGGTGCGCCTTTTCTCGGTCCAGTAAATATGATTGTTCGGCCTGTATTGCCTTGAGACCGACAACAAGCTGTTGAAAGGAATCAGAAAGCGATTCTTTGGGTGGTTCTAGGGATAAGGCAATCTAAAAAGGCTACTACTGTTAGATGCAGGAGTTGCATGTGTTCCTAGCGGAGAAAACTTTACATCAACAATCGAAGATTTCGCAATGAAGCAATAAAAGTGTCTGCCCGTCTGCGCAGCTCTAAAATGATAGGTGCCAAATTTCAGGTCGTCAGCATTGAAAAGACGATTTTGAAGGGTTCCATCGTAAATCTAAAAGTTACCATCAAACCAAACTTCAAAGTTGACTGTGCCCTTTGAATTTGGCCCATATAGCTCAAAGTTAACGCCAAATATGTCTCCTTCCTTAAGATCATGAAAGAAGCACTGCTTGTTATAAGAATCGCATTTTGTGATGTAGTTTGCAGAAACAAAAACATCAAACAACCCAAAAAGAAGGAGGAAAATCGCCAAAAGGAGGCTTCCGCACGAAATCATTACGTTGAGGGATTGATATTAAAATGATCTTGGAAAAGGACAAAAGTTAGTAGGGTTGGTGTGGACATATTTTAATTTTATAAATTCAAGTTCTGGTTGATTGTGGAAAACATATTGGGGGCGTGTTACAAATAAACACTACCCCTAAAGATTGCACATTTACAGTCAGCTCGTCAGCATTTTGGCCGCTCTGCTGGCGCATGCCGGGATTATTTAGGGGCGTCCCAAGGCGATTTCATGCATTTGATTGGTTGAAATTTAATTATCGTTAGATACCAGACATGATAAACTAAATCTTTTTACTGTTCCAATTAGGGCCGTGCAGGTTACCGGCTTATCAGCAAAGCTCAAATGACTCCTCTGAGATTTCAAAACGAAGGATAGCAGCAATTCCAGATAATGAATTTAGTTGTCCCATTGACCCGAAACAGCTGGAAAATACAATTACGGTTCCTCCCTGTGACTTTACATCCTGCATTAAAGAAAATAGTGATTTTCTTTTTTCGACATCAAAACAAGTTCTATCACCATCAACTGAAGGCATCCCTACCTCAAAAGCTCACTAGAAATAAAAAGTTCTTTGACGGAATTTAAATCAGCAGCATAGCGGACATGTTCATACGAATAGTAGGCTTTGTTAGGCGATTTTGATAACATGGTGATAAATCGTTCAAGAGCCTTTTGTTCAACATTGAATGACGAGGTGGAGGAAAGAACAGCACTGGAGCTTTTATCTGCCAGAATTTCCTCTAGTGCAGACAAATAGCCATGGGAAGAGTGAACGACTATGAATTTAGACTTGTTTAAAAAAAGAGATCGCAAAGCCGCATCTGCCGATGGAGTAGCAAATCGGTCGCAAATGTATTCAATAAAGTCTTTGTTGTAGAATCCAGGACTAGCCACCAGGCAGTTATTGATATCGGAAAATTGGAAATGTTTCACAAGTGTCTTGCATATGCGAAGATAGAAATTCTCGATGGCCTAAATTAAGCTCATATAAACGTCACTTTTGATCTGATCCCAAGATTGGATTTCTTTGGTATATGAGTCTCGATTTTCTCTTTCAAAATGATGGCCGAATTTTTGATGGCGCAAACGTGGGCGACACCTAAAAATTAATACATCAACCTCATGCCCATCTGAAAAATCAGTGCGATCACGGGAACATTCTTGCCCTCTTTGATGGATTTGTCAATTAGCTCAAGAATGTACTCGGGCCAGAAATCTTTTTGCAGCTCGATTTTTTCGTTGATTCCCACATTAAGAGTATGGAAGGAGCCTAACGATAAAAGTGGTCCTAAATACCGATCTTGAGGGAGTGAATGAAGGCTATATCGGCATACCTTCACATAGTCGTTCTCCACACACACACGTCCCTTCAAGGCAAGGCTCGAGATACTCAAGTCGGCTGAAACCGTATCAACTTGTATCCAAAGCGTAATTCGGATCCTTTCGCTTTCTGTTGAAGTTGAAGAGCATGGGTTATTATCGGAGCGAACGCGTCTGTAAATTAGTGCATGGCGTGGCACCTGGAGGTAGACATTTTGATACGATCGTCTTTATGTATGATCTGGTAAAGGTTCCAAATGTCGTCAAACTCTTCTGCCATTAAAGAAATGAAGCCAGAATGGTCCCGGGAACTGATGGACCGACGCAGGAGACGCATCACAAATTTTTTTAATTTTTCCATGGATATTACATCTGCCTTTAACGCCCCGATTCTTGCTGCGTTTGCATATGGCTCGGCAATCAACACAGCCGAAAACGACAGTTCCGTGCAGACAGATTATATTTTGATTGTGGAAGACACAAAGGCATTCCACTCGCTCACAAAGAGACAATATCCATGTCATTACTCTGCCATTATGAAAGCGCTCCCTCCAAGGTATCTTTCTTATCTGAATGACACCATACCAGCGGGCCTATTTTTCCATCCATACGTAAGCTTTGACAACGACGTCTTTGGGCACAACGTATTTCTTGCAATTTATTTTGCTAGGTCAAATATGGGGTTATATCCCTTGCTTCTGCTCTTGACGATCTTAAAAACTGGAAGTTTCTGTATCTTGCTGGAAGGCTCCAGAAGCCAGTAAAATGGATACGGCCAGTAACACACTTTCCGCATTTATGTTGTGCGATTGAAGATAACCTTTTATCTGCGCTTTCTGCATCTTTGCTGATATTGGGCCAGAAAAAAAAGGAATGTTCCCTGTTTGATCTCTTTACCAAGATCGTATCGCTTTCGTATTTCGGCGACGTGCGAATGAAGTTTGCCGAGGATCCAAGAAAAATCCTCAAAATCATCACCATGGAGCCGTTTAATGGCCATTCGCCATTTTCGCCCATTTGTGCAATGGAGGAATTATACCTCCCATTGATCAAGAAAGTTGGCGAAATTGAGATTTTTCAAGACTCTTGCACAGCAAAGGGGTTTAAAACGGATGTTGCCACACAACTTCGCAGCAAAACGATTTCGTTTCCTAAATCGGATGAATACAGGCGATATTTATCATCATATCTTCCAAGGAGCTTCGAGGCGAACCGGTCAGACTATATCAATTCGCCAGATAAATTAGCTTCTTGTAAGCAAATTGATCTTTAATGCCTAGGTCTTGAGAGAAAGGTGCTTTATTCCTCCGCCTGCCAAGCAGCAAAGGGAATATTAACGGCGGGACCTGGAAAATCTGTAAATTATTTAGCCCGGAAAATCTCAAAGAGATTTTTCTAGTGGACAATAGAATGGGAGGCTGGAGGCTTTAAATAGACGCGCATCATAAATTGTATTTTAAGTTGACTATCAATGAAGCCCAATTGAAAGTACAGCGGGGAGTTTTAAAGTACAACCAAGAAGTTTGAAATTACAATTGTTGAGGGTTTTAAAAATACAATCGCAATTCGTTTCCCTTGTTGCCTTTTGACCCCTGTGTTTCTACCGAATAGATTTGTATAATGATCTCTTCGCCTGGGTTTGTGGCCGCAACAGCTGTCCCAAGCGTATCTTCGCCAATGAATTTTTCAACCCATCCACTATCTGCACCCCCCTCCTCTTCCATATCATCGTCCCCCTGCAGATTTGACAACTCTCTTGGTCTGTTGACTAGGAAGTTTGTGCAATTGCTGAAGGATTCAACAAATGGCACCGTGGATCTTAATGAAGCATCTGCAAAGTTGGAAGTTCAAAAACGCCGAATATATGACATAACTAATGTATTGGAAGGCATTGGGCTCATTGAAAAAAAGTCCAAAAACACAGTCCAGTGGAGGTATGGTTTATAAGTTGCTTATTTCTAGTGGGATTTCTTCCGCATCATCCTCCATAAGCGACTCGATGCAGGGACAAAAAATCCATGAGCTGAGGGATGAAATTGCTCAGCTTCGGCGCGAGGAAGCGCTCCTCGACCATCATCGAGAATATATCCAAGGGATCTTAAAATCAATGTCCGAGAACAAGTCTTTTAAACGGTATCTCATCCTGATGACTAACTAATTCAAGGCTTGCCTATGTCTTGCATACAGATATTAGGGATTTGCCAAAATTTTCTGAAGACACCCTTTTCGCCGTAAAGGCGCCATATGGCTCTACACTCGAGGTTCCAGAGCCAGAATCTTCCGGGACAGCAGGGGGACGGGACATTGCCTCTCCATACCAGCATCACCATGAGCTGCAATTGAGTAGCAAAAATGGACCCATTGACGTGTATCTCATACAAGACCATGGATCTTTAAAGCAGACAACATCTTCAGAATTACTTGACTGTGTTGATGGGACAATAGCTCCCGCCCCGCTAAAACTCAATCAAGGGGCCTATCTGGAGCTCGCACAGCCAGAGGTTGACTTGGCCATAGGCGGTACAGGTGACGATATCCAAACGGGGCAATATTTTGACTACTCTGAGATCTTGAATGTGTTCAACCTTCCTGTAGATGCAAACCAGCTTTCACAGGAGCATCAGCAATAGGCTTTTTTATATGCAAATAAATAGATAAATAAATAAATTAATTGCTCTATTAATTGGGGTTAATTGTACTCGGCCCTAAAGTTGAATTAAATTTTCAGATTGTTGTATACATGGAAGAGCCTCTAACGAAGGCTCAAGTGCTCGCCTTCATCCAGGACGAGGATATCCCTTATGAAGAAGATATCCAGCGAAATCCATACGCTATAAAGATATGGATAAGGTATATTGACTTAAAGTGCGTCTCTCTCGAACGTGTCAAGTCCCTCGAACAAGAGCATTCTGTAAATGCTGTTTTATGGTTTCCACTCTGGTCGTTGTATGAACGGGCTCTCAAGCTGTTCCCAGGCTCTTATAAACTTTGGAAATCATATCTGGACCACCGTCTCTTGCAAGCTTCCAAATCGGATCAAAGGGTCGATCAACAAAGTTGTCCTGCAGCCGACCAGAATTCCTCTCAAGCACTTTACGGGCTCTGGGAGCGGGCTCTCTTAACTCAGTCAAAAGCGCCGAGAATGTGGATCTCCTATCTCGAACATATTATGGCTTCTTTGGCCCAACTAAAAGATAGTAGCGGGAAAAATTCCAGGTTTTTTCTTTGGGTATTTGACAGGGCCTTGCGCGCCCTTCCTCTTTCTCAACATCACAGAGTATGGCCCATAGGTCTTTCCATGGCAGAAAAGCCAGAATGCTATTCTTTGGTTGCTGCAACCATTTTTTCTCGATATGCAGCGATAGATCCAGAAGCTACAGACAAGCTTATTTTCCTATTGGAAACAAGGGACCTCCCAGAGGCTGCTCTTAAGGCCATTGCATCAAGGCGTCTTAATGTAAAAGAGCAAGGAAAATTTGTGGAGGGAGATACCTCTGCTGCATACCTTCATCGTATGGTAGAGCTGGCCGCTCAAACCTCTAAGATGCGGCCAGGAGAGCTAGAAGCCATAGTACTGGCGGGTATTGCTGACGGTCGTCTTGCACACGATGCCGGTTGGGCACTTGCTGCGCTTTCTGCACATTTGCTACAACGCCCAGAAGCTGGAGCCCAGGAATTAGCCCGTGATATCCTAATATCCGCTCTTGATGGCCGGAAGGGCGTTCTTATCCGCACAGCCCGCGATTTTGGCCTTGTATTTGATGCACTTGCAAAACTGGAAGAGATGGCTATAGGCCGTTTGTTACGGCAGCTCTCAAAAAAGCGGCGAAACCCCCAACTGTCACTGCGCCAGGAGGCAGACTGGCGACTTGCTCGCTTTGAACGTCTGATGGCGCAAAGAGAGTGGCTTTTGAGTGGAGTACTCGTTCGGGCTTCACCTTCAGACGTCGGGCTTTGGTTAAGACGAATTTCGCTTGGAATTGCCGCGGATCCTACAAGAAGAACCGAACTCTTCATGCAGGCCATTGATTCCATAAAGCGAGGCAGCCATAAACTGAGTGAATTATGGCTAGCTTTTGCAAAAGGAGCGACCTCTTCGGAAGAGCAGCGAGAAATCTTTGAACGAGCTCTAGGCAATGGTACAGACTATTTTGCCTCGACGGAGGAAACCTCCTCTGTGTGGCTTGCCTATTCTTCTGCATTTAGCGACCCGCCTTCTGGAAGCAATGAAATGGCATTGGAGATTTTGCAGCGTGCTACGGCTATTCATCCTCGAGCCCTGGCTCTTTGGGGTGCAATTATTGAGATGGAAATCAAGATGGGACGACCTGTTCGCGTCAAATGCGCGTTTGAGCGCACACTTGAGCTGCGTATTGCGACTCCAGCCATTGTCTTTTCATACATTGACTTTCTGGAGAGCGGAAATGCTGGCATCCTTTTAGGGAGCCATTCGCAGCCTGACGCCGCAGATTCTACCGAAATAGATCCTAAGGCACGTAGCGATGATCCTAAGGCACGTAGCGATTCAAACCAAGATTCTAGAGATGCTATAATATTTAGCGTTTACGAGAGGGCCATTGCGGCCTTTGGTTTTCCGGCAGCTATGGACTTATGGTCTGCGTATCTTTGCCGCTTCGAAGCGATGTTGAGCAATCGACAGCAATGTCCCTGGCGTTTAGTGGAACGAGGACGTGAGCTCTACGAGCAAGCTGTTCGTGGTGCACCAGACTCAAAGACAGTTTGGATCGCCTATGCAAGCTTCGAAGAGCGCTTTGGACAGCCCCGGGCCTCACTTTCTGTGCTAAGGAGAGGTATTACCGCAGTGGCGGCCTCCGCCACCGCTCCTAAAGATGATCTTGTTGATCTCTGGATGGTACTACTTGCCAAGACACAGCATTATTCTGGGCTTTTAGCCTCGAGAGATGTTTACGAAGAAGCAATTCGATCGTCTTCTTCTCCACTTCCTGACTCTGCAGTTCGTAATTTATGTCTTGGATACGCAGCACTGGAGGCCTCACTGGGTGAAGTTGAGCGTGCAAGATCAATCTATGCCTACGGCTCTAGGCTGGCAGATAGCCGCACCTGCGGCTCTTATTGGGAAGCCTGGGAGACTTTTGAACGTGCACACGGATCCCAGGATACCTTTCGCGAGCTTCTGCGTGTCAAGAGGGCCGTCCAGGCCCAGTTTTCGATTGCCGATGTCCAATTTGTGCCAGCAGCCGGGGAGAGCAGTATACCACCCCCTGGACAAGAGCATCCTTTTGCACAGCTTTCAGATCACCGTTGATTATTATTAAAATATCCCAACTGAACTTCTTAAGGAGCAGAAGGATCGCCACATGTTTTCTGGGTCACTATGTACCAAGGGCAACCAATGGAGTGGCTTTTCTCTGATCTGTCAAGGATTGCATCTTTATTTGAAATACCGATCGTTAGCTAGAGGGACGCCTCAATCCAGACCTGGAAGCTAAGGGGGAATAAATACACCCTTTTTGCTGGTGCTAAATCACATCTTTTGATACAGATTCACATTTTAGGGTGTAGCGGGTATTTTATTGCTAACTTTGATGGTTACAGTTTATTGATGCCCTTTGAAAAAACGCGCACAACACGCCCAAATACCATGTTCACAATTTGGATAAAGAAGATGAAGCCGAAATGAACACACCCTTCAAGGTAAGCGCCATATTATTTCAAAAAGACTACGGTAAAGATCGTCAAAAAATTTGAGCCTCCTCCTCCTCCTCCTCAAAATGAGGCACATATGAAGAAATAGATCCGGTCTAACTAGTCTGTTATTTGGTATCTTTTCACAAAAAGAGGGCTCCTAGTCATTCGATCGAGTTTTTCAAACAAAGGATGTTCAAATATAACCAGATATGAACGGTGAATCAAAGATTTTCCGTATCGGCCATTTCTTCAGCACTAATGTGCCTGGATTTAATTATTGCCAATCAATACTTGGCCTGTTACAGACCTTTTTTTAAGACCAATATCACGATCAGTCACCTTTATTGATTAGTTGCCTCGCTGCCTTGTGCTTCGTTGCCTTCATTACTTCGTGGTTCGTGGTTCGTGGTTCGTG